ATCTTCAGGGCCATCACCTGCATACTGCCGTGTTAACACTACCTGGATATTTGATAGCTCTGCTAGTGTTTCTTTCTGCAGTGTAGCTATTCACTTGGAATTTGCCTCTTAAGAATTCATGGGACAATAAGGAAAAAGAAGTATTTTTTGCTGAGCTTCCGTAAGCAAATACAGATCCCACAAGGCTGAAAAGTCTTATTCCACCCCTTATGATCAGATAGTATAAAATCAATTTCTGTATAAATACTTGGTACCAACCTAGTATTCTTGAGGACTAGAAAATAGCCCTTGAGAACAGGCCTGCTGTAAATGAAGCCTAGAAGTTGCTTTAGCACTGATGTAGCTACATTCCAGTAAGGTTACACAGTCTCACTCACAGAGACAGAAGAAATGTAGATAACAATCAATAAACAATTAGCTTCCCTGATGGAGGTAGGGCAAGTGAGTAAAGCAGAAACCAAGTCCCACCTAGTTCCAGAAGTACTGTTTCATAAACTACCTGTTAGAACAATGAGTACTCAGAGCAGTACAAACTGCATGCGACTCTACCCATTTCAATATGCTGTGAAATATTTGCTGGGAGAGTTAGAAGCCAGCTAAGGAAAAAAAAAAAACAAAACCAAAAAAACACCACAAAAAAAAACCAAAACACAAAACAACCCAACTCTGCAATGAAAGCAAGATATAACAGGAGAAAAACCAGTGAGGGTGTATTCCTGATGGATTATAACCTCTGGACAATTTTTTTTCAGTCAGCACTAATTTTGCCAATTAAGATGAAGCAACACATTTTCTTAACAGGAACCAGTATCAAAATATTGTTTCTTACCACAAGCTGAGTTAGTTCCATAGTTCACAAACAGTATTTCAGAGATTACTGTAACAAAAGTAGTAACCCCTTTAGCGTTAAAACACATGGGAGTGCATTGATGCATACATGTAGTTGTATGCAGAAGCCAAGATTGATTAGAAGGTTATTCTCTTGTCAAATACCCCTTCCTGCACACACACAGGGTCCTTTGCCACTATCCAGCCCTACAAGAAGTCTCAGGTTTTACCTTTGGTCTCTGGCAGCGATATTAGCTCTCATTCCCAGTGCCTGTGTGCCCACACCCAGTGAGGAAAAGTTTAGCAAGCTGCAGAGCAGCCCACCTAGTCAAGTAAATGCAACATTTAAACTTACTAAAAAACGGAGAGTCAATGTCCTGGAAATACGTTCTGGGGCCTCAGGCTCCAGCCAAAGGGCGTAAGTAACTGAACCAAGCACACCAAGGTACGCTTTTTAGGGAAGACATAAAAGACAGCAGCCTTTCCAAGATATGTCTTGGCATGCACAGAGGCAGTAGTATGGCACAGAGTACTTGCATACTGCAGAGATTACATTAAGTAAAGCTTAAAGTACTGGGCTGTTACAGTTAGGAATTGCTGCTTTCTACTTCAATAAGCTCCTTCATCTAAATCCTGTTGGTTAGACCTCTCAAGAACTTTATTAGGAAGATAAGAACACAGGCGTTATTTATTTCACAAATATGTTGATGCAGTATTTTTAATGCAGTACTTAGACTTTCACTTTCATTAGACACTTTTAGAACACCACAGTGGTTTCAAACTCCTAGTGTTTCCACATTTAAAAGCATTAGCCATCTTGAAGTCAGCCACATTTCCCTTCACTCACCATACCAGCACATGGCAGATACTGTAGTGATGAAAATAAATCCAGAACTACCAGAGACAGTACCCTACAGACTAGAAGAATGGTAATCAGGCAGATACTGTAGTGATGAAAATAAATCCAGAACTACCAGAGACAGTACCCTACAGACTAGAAGAATGGTAATCAGGCAGATACTGTAGTGATGAAAATAAATCCAGAACTACCAGAGACAGTACCCTACAGACTAGAAGAATGGTAATCAGGCAGATACTGTAGTGATGAAAATAAATCCAGAACTACCAGAGACAGTACCCTACAGACTATAAGAGTGGTAATCAGGCAGTTACTAGACACTTCAGCATAAACAGGATCTTGAACAATATCCACAAGAAAGCTTCCACTACTTAGGGAAGTCTCACCTTATCTCAAAGCCAGGGAAGGAAAACAATGAACTGTGGACAACATATGGTGGTTTACCTTAGTTACCATGTAACTTGCTTCTGTGCACCTAAGACAGGTTGTATGAGTAACCCTTGGTAAAAACATAATGCACTTAATGCACCTGGCTTTCAGTCAGCCTCTAGTGTTTTTACCAGTGTCTCTCCACCGACATTATTTGCATACTAGTTTTCTACAGGTAGCATGTCTAACTTACGGATTATGTATGGATTGTGTATCGCCTTATCAGCTTCTAAGGGAGAACCCTAAAAGATGTCACTCATAAAGACTAGTTAATTTTTTTATCTCTAGAAACAGGCACAACCCCCAACACTTGAATACCGTATCTTTCCTGTTCCAGGTGGAGTCAAACTGGTCTTAGGCTGACACTATTTAAACTGGAGGTATCCACAGCCACTGCACAACTTTTCACAACGGTATAATACAGTAAACCAGGGAATACTTCAGGTTTGAAGTGACCTCAGGAGGTAACCTGACCCAGCCAGTCCTGAAAGTGCAGCCAGGTCAAGGTCAGAGCAGGTTGCTTGCACTGCATTATACATGTGCCTTAACAGAGAGCACCCAATAAATGCCGACAGACCTTCAAGCAAAACATCAACACATTGAGTTAGTCTCAAGAGGATGGCTGATACATCAGGAAATTGGTAAGCCCTGAAGAGTGAAGAACAGCAGTAAACAAACAAACAAAAACCAAACTCACACCAAACCAAACAACCAAACAAAAGCCCTAACAACAGAAAACCAGAGCATTTATTAACTCTTAGGAAGTTTAAAAGTCACCCCAATTTCTGTGATTCTAGACAACAAAGCCGAGGACCTACCTGATATTTCAGTACATTTGGAAGCCCAGGTAGGCCTTCTGTCACCTAAACCCCTTCTCTTGGTGGTGTTACAGACCAGCATTATTTTCTCAACATGCATATCCCACAACACTCTCTGACCATTTCACTTCATTTCATTCTCTTTTCCCCAACTTTGGAGGGAAGAAAAAAAAAAGTTTCGTTTGTTTTTTGGTTTGGTTTGGATTTTTTAATCTTCTCCTCTGCTCTTTTCTCCAGCCAAGAGCACTCCCTAACAGGTACTCAAGTGGCCCCACCTATAACCCACAGGCCAAAATGATTAACCCTTTTCCTGTCCTACTGCAAATGATACATTTATTTATCTTGGTATACTATGTCTTACCCTTTGTGGTTTTCTTCCCTTCTCTCTTCTCCTTTAAAGCTAAGCAGTTTCCTGCTATTTCAGCAAGATATTCTATGTACTTCTCCCAGTCTTATCTCTGAGCTTCTTCCTGTTTATCATTGCATTTCATCTTATTTCTTTTCACTGGAAGTATTTCAATGTTGCTTCTCCCAGCCTCTTGTCGAACTGCATGTTTCAGAGAATTATAGAATAATAAGTAAATAGGTCAGAAATTACCTCTGCAATTGTTATCATCCAACCTCCATTATTTTTTAATATAAAAAGCCACACTAAATAAGGGTATTTGTTTAGAAGACAGAATACATTAACGTGTCATCACTCCCCCTGATACTAGCAGGATGCTTGATGTTTGAATGGGATATTGTGAATGACTGATCACCTCTTCTTGCAGAATGTCTCGTTAAATAAACTCTTAGGGATGTTGGTGCATTGCTGCCATTTAATAGGCTTAATTGTTAATTGACTTATTTTTTCCCTTTGAAACCTTTGGTCCTATTAACAGTCTGAACTATCTTTTGTCATGGGTACTTTTATTAGCTTCAGGAAATTGAGCCATTTACCTGTAAACCCTCTAGTAAGTAGAGCCAATGGCACATTTGAAATTACACTATTTATGTAGCTGAGTAATTTCCACGTGTTTTTTCTGCACATACTGGTATTTCTGGTACTATTTGTACCAGAAAAGGCAAAAGAACTTTACTTTACAGATATTTTCTTTGCCTTACTAACAAAAGTTTTCAAAGCTATGTTTGCCAGAAAATGTGTTACATCTTTTGTCTATTCATTCTGTTATTCTTCCATTGCTCTGAAAACAACATGTTCTGGACTGAACCATCTGAACAGATGGTTGTTATGCGTTAAAGTCATCAGGGGATGAAAACGCCTGAATGAATCCCCTCCCTCCTCCCTCCTCTCCCCCCAAAAAAGTCCACCAAACCCAACCCAAAATGTCATGCATACATAATAATGTTCTTGCTCCCACAAGGAAACAGGAGTTGAATCTCAGAGAGGATCCTATGAGTTAATGATAGGACAGCAATTCATAATTGTTACAGGCCTCCCTTTCACACTGTAGGAAAATACATATTTATTTACTTACTTGCATTTTAACTCCTCTTAAATGATAAAACATCCATATTAAAGGTACTTTTTTTCTAAAAAAATACAGACCTGTAAAATAGACGTGTGCTTTCTTCCTCTTGCCACATAGGCTGCCATGTTCAGAAGCTCTGACTTGAATGGCAGATCTGGGTCCCTCTCTTCAGGGAAGAGATTTTGCTGCAGATTGGGTAGGGACTGTCTATATGCTTTGTAGCTAAATGTGTACATTTAGCTGAGAAATGGCTGAGATGATACCTCATTTGGAGATATGAACCTTGTTCAGTATATCATGGCATTTGGCCACTTTATTAGTAAGAGCTTTTGAAACTTGAATATAACTCTTCTGGCTTCAAAACTCTATATTAGCCAATGGAGAGAATAATATATGTTAAGAATAATGTGAGATGTTGTACTCTCCTTGTAATATTTTATTAGAGTGAACATTATTCATTACTAAGTGCAAGTACTATAAGTTTCAAATACTGTTTCAAGAGTTTACTTTGCACTTTATATTGATTTAATTAGTTCATTCAAGCCACCTGTTATTTAGGAAGTCCTAAAAATGCAAGACTTAAATAATCAATTTCTTTAAAATGCTTTTATTTATTTTATCAGTTAAAATTTAATAAATAGATTTAGATCGTAGACAATTACAGATAAACCCAAGCTTGCCATGTACACACTTTACACTGGTTGTAGCTGATCTAATTCTTAATCAAAACCCCAGCAGGCATGATGGAATGATGCTGGGCCCAAGCTAATATGGTTCCATGCCAGATTGGTGTACAGCAGTTTTCAAATGTTCCTTCATTAGAATTAAACATACGCACTCCATATCAAAATCATAACATACTGCTTTGTGGCAGCTCACTTGGCCAGTGATTTGGTAGACTATCTGAAAGAACTGAGAAACAAAGATTAACTACTTCCAAAAGCGATCAGAAGATGAGTAGGTTTGTGGAGGACTATGCAGAAAAAGCATCTGATGAATTTACAGTGTTTTTGTAGCTAATTTTTGGCTTCCTAGGGAAATGAGCTACTACGTTTTGCAGCAAGCTCTCCTACAGCTATGCTTTGTGAAAATATTTGCTTTAGCCTTATGCTGACTGCAAGGTCACAGGCAGGTCCTGATGGGGAAATCAGTGTTTTAAGGGTTTGTATCCAGTCATAAAACCAGTAAGAATTCTCCTGGACGGATGGAATTCAGATGGGTGTTTCTGTTTGCAATGTAGATAAATTCTCTGAAGTAATTCTGGCTTAATTAATATCCTCAGTACTGTGTGGCACAACTCCAAGACGTGACAAAATATCAGATAAAGGGTAGATATTTCCCAAGTAATAATTTCCTTTACTGGCCACATATAACCAAATGAAAACTTCTGTTCATGCACAGGCAAAATAACCAAACATTCTGAAGGGCATGTGGTTAGGGATTGCTAGACTGTATGTAAGCTATGAAGAAAATGTTTTCTGAATGCTCTGAGTCTGACTTACAGAAAGATTGTCCTGGTTTTGGCTGGGACAGAGTTAATTTTCTCCCTAGTAGCTGGTGCAGTGCTATTGGCTTCAGTCTGAGCACAATGCTGTTAACATACTGATGTGTTAATTGTTGGCAGTAACACTTATCCTGATCAAATACTTTTCAGTATCATGCTTTGCCAGTGAGGAGGGGCACAAGAAACTGGGAGGAAGCAGAGACAGGACACCTGACCCAAACTAGCCAAAGAGGTATTCCATACCACAGCACATTATGCCCAGTATACAAACTGGGGGGAGTCACCTGGAAGGCCCAGATTGCTGCTTGGGTTGGGCTGGGTATCAGTCAGCAGGTAGTGAGCAATTGTATTGTCCATCACTTGAGTTTATTGGTTGTTTTTTTTCCCCCATTTTAGTTTTATATTATCTCCATGTTATTTTTCTTCTTATTATTAGTGGTAGTAGTAGTATACCGTACTTTATTACAGTTATTAAACTGTTCTTATCTCAACTCATGGGGTTTACATTCTTTCAATTCTCCTCTCCATCCTAGTCTGGGAGTGAGTGAGTGGCTGCATGGTACTGAGTTACCTGATGGGTTTAAACCATGACATCATACAAGGAGAAGCTTTCATCTGTAAAACAGATGGGCTGGGGCACAAGTATTTTGAGAAAAAAAAAATATGACTATGTCCTTGTCCAAGTCATACCAGGATATGAAATCCTTTGGGGGACAAGGAATTTTGGTATTCCTATCAGTTATGCACCAAACAGGTCCTTTAAAAGAAATTTAGGGCTCATATTGTTAAAAGTTTCAGCTCAGAATTTTCACAATATTTACAGTTTCCATACAAACAAAACTATTCTCGTTGAACAAGGAAATTTCTAAGAGTACAGAAAGAGTATGGATCCATTTGTTTTTCTGTGATGCAGCAGAATGTAACTAGTCAATATACAAGGTAATATTTTGCCTATTTCTAGATTCTATAGCAATTAGCTAAAAATGCTTTAAAATTATTTTTTACTAAATAACATAATAATCATTATTAAGAAGAAACAGTTTCACTTTTTATTTCACTTTTGCTCTCAGAAGTTTTAAGAAGGTCACATTTAGAATATTTTCTGGTCTTGTATGAACTCTTCTGGTCTCATTTCCCACTTTTAAAAGTCCTGATTTTACTTTTGGATTTTAGAAAATCAGTACATCTTCAGTGTGCTCACTCACAAAACACTTCAGTATTATGCGACTAAACCAGGTTGGACCTTTTCAGCTCCAACATGTTAAGAACCAAATGTGGGTGCGTGAAGAAAACACCGTAAGACGTGAATGCACAGTGAGTGGGCTACTAGGACTAGCCATCCAAATATTCCCCCTTGTGAAAACTGCAAGGTAATTTTCTCGTGAAGGCCAGTATGCCAAGCAACTTCTCACACTCCGTTACATAAATTACTGTAAACAAAAATGTTGCAAATTGTCACAGATTCCTTTACCATGATCTGCTTATATGAGTGTGTCTGATGTGTCCTATCTATCCTGTCTATATCTACCTATCTACCTACCTACCTATCGATCCTTTGTATCTGACCCAAATTTATTGTGTATTTGCTTTATTTAACCAAGCACTTCAGGTAATTTCTAAGCATTCCTCATACTTCATAAGGCTCATAAAGCTTTATTCTCAATACACTTTAGGGGCAAGACTTCAGCAGAGCAGTTACATTGTATGTTTCAGTTTAAGGAAGTCACACAGGAAGTCTGTGGCAAAGCAGGCAACAGACTTCTAAGTGCTATCCATATCCTTGATCTTGGGAATCATATCAGACAATGCCTTGAGGTCATGAAAAAGGGCTGACAGCAATCAGTGCGGCGCTGCACAAGCTAGCACACACAGCATGCATTTCCAAACATTTCTCAGGAAAGCTGTGTTTTATTCAGGCTCCTCAACAGCAAATGCCATGGCTTCTTCCATGGCAGCAGCAGTTCACACTCTTGCCCTTCAGGCAGAGGGGTGGCTGTGCAGTGACTAGAACTGCAAGACAATCCCGGGATTGCTTCAGAACCTGCAAGCTGCCTTAAATGCTATGATGCAAGAATATGCTAGGATTTCTTCATCTTTGCAACAGCCATGTTAAGGCAGCTTATCTTTGCTAGATGCAGACACTATGTATTTTATGCAGGCACTATGTATTTTATGAAGATGCGCAAATGAGGATTTCGTTGTACTGGAGATCATAAAGTGGTAAGAACAGCTGCGCCTTATGTATTCCACAAATATCTTCCTGTTTGTTACCTGAAATGTGAGGGTGTTCTTTAATATCACCTTGTAAAAAATATCAGGTCCTAATCAGATCTGAATTACATTCTTTGCCAGTGATATTTATGGTAAACCTTGGGTTTCATGTCTTTTTGCATAATCACACTCACAAATATATACGTAGTCCTGTAGAAACCTAAATGGGTTGCAAAATAAATGTGGCTACTCCTGTCTCCAGTGCTGGTCAGAAAGACAGCCTGCTGACAGTAGTCTGAAGTCAGCTAACATGGAGAAATAGTGAGTTCCCAAATGCATAACTAAGGTGCCTTCAAAACCTCACATACTTTGGAGAAATTAATAGGTTTGGCTTTTTCTCATATGCACTCACTGCTAGAGGACCAGGAAGGGTTTGAGCTAACAAATGCTCCCTTGCTAGTGACAACAATGACCTGATAATATTTTCAGTTACCAATAATGCAAAGGCAACTTTGTGAAGCACTAGCTCAGAGAACCGCTTATGCCTGAATTTAAAAAAAAAAAAAAAAAAAAAAATCTATGCAGTCTCTTACACCTAGATGGAGACACCCTGAGACTGCAATAGATGAACTGTGAAAGAGAAAACAAGAAGAGCTTTGGGGGTTTGATACTGTTTGCAGACTAATGTATGTGGGTGATCTCTTACTGTAAACACAGATGGCTGTGATCCAGCACAGGTCAGGCTGAGAAGCCAAGCATGTATCTGTGGGCTTCCTATTTCCCACTGAAACAATGATTACTTGGCAGAATGGCATGAATTTGTAGTCCTTAAAATAAAATCTTTTGGATTAGGCAGTTTGAATTAAGATACATTTTAGATGCATCAAGCTGAAGCTTAAGAATGTCATGTCTGATCATGTCTTCTTTACTAAGTGCAAATAAAGGCTGCAATTCTAGGTTTCAAAATGTTCTTAGAACAACAGAATAAGAAATTCAATGTCACAGTACCTGTGATCATGAGATTTTCTGCCTGCTTGAGCCAGTGTGTGAGGTAACCAAGCATGGAAAATAGGATAGAGCACTGGGATGCAGCCACCTGCAAAGACATAGATGGATAGAAAGGACAAGACGAAAGTTAGAAAAATAGTCCAGAGCTTGAATAACTAGTTTTGCTGTCTGCTGTAGTACATATTGACTAGATTACCCTGTGCTGGCTACCTAGTCTTTCCATGCCACAGTCCCATAAGATGGCATAACAAGACTAGCTTGCATCAGCAGGCTGTCATTATGATTGATGCTCTCATAGGTATTTGCATGACCCTGTGAGACTACATAATTACCTAGAATATGTATACACTACCTGCCTGTAATAGGCCTGTGTACAGATAGCCCAACCTACAATGGGTTTATCTCCAGATTAGTCCTGGTTTATAACTATGTATTCCTCTGTCCTGGGTTCATCAGTAGCAGTCATTTTTCTCCTTAGTAGCTGGTGCAGTGCTGTGTTTTCGACTTTCAGCCTGCGAACAGCACTCAACACCAATGATTTTAGTTGCTGCTCAGTAATGTTCACACTGACCAAGGACTTTCTGAGTCTCATGCTCTGCCAAGGAGGAGGGGAAGCCAGGAGGACCCGAACTAGCCAAAGAGGTATTCCATACTACAGCACATCATGCCCAGTATATAAACTGGGGGCAGTTACCCAGAAGGGCTAGATCACTGCTAGGGTTGGGCTGGGTATTGGTCCACAGGTGGTGAGCAGTTTTATTCTCTTCCCTTGTTATTTCCCTTATCATTATTATTATTGGTGGCAGCAGTAGTGGTTTGTGTTATACCTTAGTTACTGGGCTGTTCTTATCTCAACCCATGGGGTTACATTCTTCTGATTCTCATCCCCATCCCTCCAGGAGCAGGGGGAGGTGAGCGAACGGCTGCGTGGTTTTCTGGGTTGCCAGCTGGGCTTAAACCATGACATCCTCTCACTGGGAGCTATGCGATGGGAGTTGAGAACCACAGTGACTGTCTTTTACCCCCAGTCTCTCCCTGGGTCAGTCAAACCACAGCAGTGGCATTAGTAGCTAATGGTAACCAAAAGGAGTCTTGTCTCCTAGGGAGCGGTAGTATTTAAACCTCCGTCACCATAACATAAACCCCCAGGACAGTTGAGGTGGTACCAATTAATTTACTTTGTAAAAGTCACCTCATGCACTGGCAACACAAAATAGAGCCATCACCTGAGGTTTCTGCAGTGCAAAGCTGTTCTTTTCCATAATCACAGAATCACAGAATAGTTAGGGTTGGAAAGGACCTTAAGATCATCTAGTTCCAAGCTCCCTGCCAGGGGCAGGGACACCTCACACTAAACCATGCCACCCAAGGCTCTGTCCAACCTGGCCTTGAACACCGCCAGGGATGGAGCATTCACAACTTCCTTGGGCAACCCATTCCGGTGCCTCACCACCCTTACAGTAAAGAATTTCCTCCTTATATCCAACCTAAACTTCCCCTGTTTAAGTTTTAACCTGTTACCCCTTGTACTATCACTACAGTCCCTAATGAAGAATCCCTCCACAGCATCCTTACTGGCCCCCTTCAGATACTGGAAGGCTGCTAAACACAGGAGAGTACAGGGATGCAGCTGACCAGATGGTGGTGGTTGAGTTGTTCCTTCTGCTTGTATTGCTGGATTGGTCCACAGTTCAGGAGAGGATGTGGAGAACATCATCAGTTTAGAAGTCCTATGTGACACAGAGCCAGGTTCTGTACAGAGAGCATGATGCCACTGGGAATGTGGAGAGCAGACATCCTGGGAGCTACAGAGGAGACAGCACACATGCAGTCAGGGAGAACAGTATTTTGAGGACCAAATCACAGTCTTTGTCTAAAGGCACAAACCATCTGCAACCATGCTCCTTTTCATACTGTTCTGCTTAATCAGAATGCCAGTTATATCACAGAATCATAGAATCACAGAGTAGTTTGGGTTGGACCAAAAGATCATCTAATTCCAACCCCCCTGCCATAGGCAGGGACACCTCCAACTTTGAGCAACCACCAGGCCGCTCAAAGTCCAATCCAACCTGGCCCCAAACAGTTACAGGGATGGAGCATCCACAACTTCTCTGGGCAACCTGTGCCAGTGCCTTACCACCCTCATGGTAAAGAATTTCTTCCTTATGTCTAATCTAAATCTTCCTTCTTTCAGTTTAAAGCCATTCCCCTTTGACTTACCACAACATGTCCTTGAAAAAAGTCCCTCTCCAGATTTCTTGTAGGCCTCTTTAGGCATGCAGTAATTCCCAAAGAATTCAGAACAGCTGAAACTACCCATTTAACAGAATGCAGATTCCCTAGTGCAACAACAATAGATATTTCTTAAATTGTATTAGTTGCAGAAAATCTCATGAGTTTAAGCATAAGTTTGCAAAATGCCATTTGTATGGAACTGAAACAACTTTTCAACCTAGCATTTAAATGTTCAAAATTTTCTCACACCTACAAAGCGTACCTTCATGATCAGTGAAAAGATGGGCACAGAGGATGCTCTCCCTGAATGCTTTACTATGCTCTTGAGGCCTTACAGTGATCTAAACCTGCAGTGCCCCTCCTCATGCATTCCTCCTCTCTCTGTTTGATGCTAGTGCTGATCTGGTCACACAGTAAGATCAACTGTTTGTTCCAGATGAAAAGAATGCAACTGCAACAGCAAGAATGCAACAAGAATACCCATAAGAAAAAAAAACATTGTTTCCAAGTGGTTTACATGAACTGCCATTTCAGGTTAGCTTGTCTTTCAGTAGCGGAAACTCAATGTGTAAGATTTAGATGAGTGCTCAAACCCTGTAAAGAGAGGACTACAGAGGTGAGGGTTAAGCAGTCTTTTCCAAAAAGTTTTGAGAGATCTCTTTACATTGTTCTGTACTTAGCTGTGAGTTTACTATATCTGTGTTATCAGTTAATGAATGCTCTGTGTACTTAAAATCTTGTCAGCTTTTTCCAGCTGTGCCATGTGGTCTCACAAAACATCTGACTTCATTCAACAGATCTCATGCAGTATAGCTTCCACAGTGCAAATGAATTATAACAGCTTCCCGTTTTCCTCTGACCTAGTATAAATCTCTTCTACCAGAAAGATGATTTTGTCTTTCACCCAACATCCTCTATTTTAATGAGCTTTAGGCAACACTTCCCCCTCTGCCTCCTAGAGTATTTTAAAGTTGAAATATTACACGCACGTAAAGTAAGTCTAAAAATCCATGAAGCTTAGGCAGTCCAGATTTCAGCTACTGAATACTAGCTTTTTCCTTACCAAGAGTTATTGTTAGAAGATAAAAATTAAAAATTTACCCATGTGAAAAACTGCCAGGCTGTCCCCATTTTAGAATGTCTAAATCTAGACCGCATTAGCAATCGGTGAATAATCATTAGTAATTATCATCACTGGTATTTGACAGATCTGTGTAGAGGAATAGCTTCCAATTTCTGATGGTAGCGCACCTCCCTGAATTATGCCCACACAATAAGAAATAGGCATGATTATTCTCAGTCTTGTCACTAACAGCTAGTCTTTATTTAGTAGATGGGAAATTATTCTGTTGGCCATGGAATGGGAAGCCTAAATTGAAGGAGGTTACCATATATTTTATTCTAAACATACCAAGGTTTGCTTTTATACTATTCTGGAGATCCAAGCTGAGGTCAGATGCTCTCAGCATTTGACTGGCATCATTTGGCTGAAGACTCAGATGCTCTTTGGCTGAGACCTCAGCATCTGACTCTTCAGCCAAAGGGAGCAGATGGATCAGATGAGACATCTTGCAGAAGCAATTACTACAATTCCTTGTCCTGCAAATATCACAGACATGTCATGTTTTCTACCTGGGAATTTCACCAGTGGAGTTTCAAGTCCAAAGTGACATCCTGAAGCACCCCTTTCCAACTTGTAACAAGCAAAACATGAAAAGCAAACATGATCAGGCATATGCCTGAACCTAGGAATGGTATTTATGACGAATTTCCAATGAAGCTGCAAGTGAAAACAGCATCCATGATGTGCATTTTTGTACTTATTGGAGTGTTTCACTATACAAACCAGCTCTGAAATGAGAATGCTGCTGGGAAATTGCTGCTGGAGTAAAAGTTTTGTACAACTGCAGCAGCTTCAGTTCAACAAAATGTTATTTACTGCTGTGCTTGCTCGTGATTGAAAATAACCTGCAACATACTTCACAACTATAGATGGTATCTGCTCTGTGATACTACTACTGCTTTATGTCTGACTTTGTTCCTTGTTCCAGTAATATACTCAAATTCAGCTCTAAACATCAGAATTACTTGGGTCAGCAACATTTAGCGTACAGAACAGACCTCTTGTTTGGTCTGGTTTGGATTGTATGCATCCCTGTCATCATCCTTCTCTTAAGCTTGTCTTTGTCTTCAGTTTCAGCTGTTTTAATGGCAAGAAAGAACCACCATCAGAGGTAGTTTGAAACCCTTCAAGGAAATAATTCTGACTTCTCAACATTCATGAGATGAACACTCAGGTTATGTAAAAGGAATATTCACCCATGAAGTAGTTCAGAAATTGCCAACCACTGGATTTGGTTTTTTATTATTTTTTTTAATTGTTTCTGGTGTTGTGGGTCTTTTTTTTTTTGTTTGTTTGTTTGGTTTGTTCGGTTTTTGGTGTTTTTTTTTTTGTTTGTTTTGTTACACAGATTTCAAATTGCCTGCTAATTTTTTATGTGATCTGTTTAGACATAAAGACCTGTGCAGAGCCTTTATGAATGTATTTATGTGTGTTAATATTTTACTTTATTGTAAAAGTAATGTAATCTACTTTTTGTCCCACTTATAGCTACATTCTAGGAATGGATCATTCCTGTTCAGATGTAATAGTGAAAGATACTAGTGGCTGCCTTAGAGAGTCTTTCATGCAAAGGCTGCCACACCCCCAGACCACTCTTCCTTGGCATGGGAATTCTGGAAGCAGTGACAAGCAGGGCATTGCTTGGCCTCCCCATTCTTTCCCACTCTTTGTGGACACCAGGCTGCCTGTAACCAATGCAACCCTGTCTGACATCATACTATAAACACTGTAGTTTATAATATGATCTCAGTATAATAGTGTATCAGAACCATTTAGTATGTAAGACTGGGGGAGTACTTTCAGCTGGGTTTGATCAGTGCTTTGGGTGCCACCGTCCAGAGGACTGCTGCAACCTCACAACAGAGACCTGCAGTAGATGGCATAGCAAAATAAAACCTGACAGCTCTTGAAACCCCATCTCCTAAAATGACAGCCCTGAAACTTTTCTGTATCTCTGTAATTGCTGTGCTGAGACAGTGCTTAGAAACCACTGAAAAGGTTCCTTGTCTACCAAAGTACAAGGGTACCACAGAGCTCATGCCTGAGGTAATGAACAAGGACAGAATCTAAAACATCAAACCAAAGTAATTCTTTACACTGACTTTCCAAAGTTTTTTCAAGCTACCTACAAACATCAATTTTGCTAGTGTCATGACACTCCTGCTGGAGTGCAAGTGATTATCATGGTGAATTTTCTTGTTTGAAGTGGAAGCCCATGGTACTTTAAAAGATTTTTCTAAATTTAGAGATGTGAGCCAGGGTTGACAACACCATAAAATCTTGATTTATAATTACACCACAAAACTGCCCTTTCGTAAGCATTACCATGTCATTATATTAAGACTATGTGTGCAGGAGCAAGCACTATACACCACTGCCATGAATGTGATAAGCTTGACAAATATTCATGTATTTCTGAGGCTGTGTGAATCAACAAAGGAATGTTTCTTGTGATGAAAGACTAGCCTGGAACTAAGGGGTTTAATTAATGTCTAATGCCTTAGACTTCCTGGACCATTTAGGACCAGCTTCTAAGAAAGGTTATGTACCCAGAGTGTTTACTGACCTTCATTTGAGTTGTGCACTGTGAACTCTGAAAATGAGCCCCCTAAGCTTGCAGGATACCATAGTACTACCAAATGGAGGCTACCTGAGCTCTTCAGTAGCATGTTAGTTACAATTTCTTTTTATTCCTCTTGCACATAGGGTGCTTTTATTAGCTTGTTTTCCAGTCTCTTTTGCATTATCTACACTGCTCCCATAACTCAAGTAGTCTTTCAGTGCTCTTTGGATTTCAGCATTGCTTTTCTTAAAGAATTCAGCTTAATACCTGCCTGGTTTACACTGCTTGAGTTCTTCATACATCCTTCATTTCCTTAATGTTGAATTATTAAAAGTCTCTCCAGCAGAGAAAAGTAAGCACCTCTTGGAAACCTTGAAGTGCCCATGTGCCTTGCGCCTGCTATAAAAAGGGCAGATTAATTCCAAGCTATAAAAATAAATAGCTCTCTTTGTTCTTAAGAGGATTTGGATTGAGCAGAGTTGCTTTATAAGTGTATGACTTCTTAGTATTGAAGTTTGGAAATGAATCAGAATACATGTTATCCACTCATGGTTAAAAATTACCACCTTTGGTATTTTCACCTTGGCTGCTCCTTGAAATTCTACTTATCCTGTCTTCCTGCCTGAGCTTTATGTACTTCACATTGTCTTTTTTTAACTACTGCAGAGGAACTCCGAAATCAAACCTGTCATGGGGAGGAGGAAGAGAGGCAGTGAGGGAAATTAATCTATCTACCTGAACAGCCCACGGGGATTATTCCAAGAAATATGAATAATTACAGCATGGCAGTATCTAGCCCCTTCCAAACCACACTCCTGTCTGTAATAGGACTGTGGTTGGCAGTGACCGCCCTTGTGCTAGGGAATTCTGCTGATGTCATTTTCATGTGGTCTTACAAAAAAGTCCAGCCCACCAATTTCCACACAGTTTGGCATGTTTGGTTTTCCAAAGAAGGTTTTTGAAACCAGTATCTTACCTCCTTTCTCATAGACACTAAAAACCTCTCATAATTTTCTGCAAGAGTATGGTTTAATCCTGCTGCTCGTGGATGAAATGGCTCCTCTATGTTTATGTCAACAGTGCACTTAGACCAAGACAGCCCCATCACTTCCACCCCAGATGTGGCTACAACAGGTAAGTGGTGGGGTATTTCCAAATTTCAGATGACGCTGCAAGTACACAAAGGGGAAAGGTATGTTCCTAATATAAACAGGCACATTGAAAGGCAGGCATGGTTTTGGAAACTGGCATGAGACTCCCTCACAGATCAACTGGTAAGTTTCAGGGAGGATACAACAGGAAGTGAGGGTAACAGCCCTTAATCAAGAGCTACTTCCAGAGCTGGGGAGTGTCATGATGTGCAAAGGTGATGGATTAAGAAAGCAGAGGCTGAAGCTTAGCAAGAGTTCTATAATGTATAATAACTGCAATTAAAATTGGTGAGTGACAGCTAATAAATAAATTCAGCACTGAAATGCAGTGCAATTCTAAATATAACTGGGGGAGGTGTAAGGGCTTTTAGATGATGCTGTTATTGCTGAACAAAGCAAAACATGCTCTTG